AAAATTTTCTACACTACAGCTATTTCCATGTTTATTTCCCTTTGAGCAGATCTGTGTTGTTGTGATTTATGTGTAGTTACTGGGAAAAGAACGAAACACTAACATTAGCTCACTGAGAAACAAAGATATTATGGCTCTCTGGTGTAATGTGAAGAACAAGCTTTTACGGTGATACTTTTACTAATATATGAGTAGCTGTCAAACAGTTCACTGATCATTTTCAAAAGAGGGGTTTATTTAGCTTCAATCAGGGTTTAGAGTGCATCATAGTACAGAAACAGTGAAGGTTTCAAATGATTTTCTCATGACCTCGAATTGGAGGCTCGTTTTTGTTCTTGTCCTTCAAGATCTTCTTCATATACAAAAGTTAGTCATGGAGTGCCATGTGAAATGCAGATTATTAAACATTAGGTCTCCCTCTTCTAAGTCCCTGTTAGTACATGAATTAATAATTGATCAACAAATTAATTTACTGAGATGTCTCTGAAGGTTCTCAGTCATCCAGGTCATCGTAGTTTAAGGAGCTTGGAAAGAAAAGCTTCTGGACTTCTTTAGGTTTCTAGAAGATGTTTCACCTCTCATCCGAGAAGCTTTTAAGCCCTATGGGAGTGTCCCCAAGAGCACTGTGAATGACCATCTTTGAACAGAGGCGGTGGCTTACGACACCAACTGTATGCCATCTATAATCCAGTTTTGAGATCTCTTCACAGATGCCATAATGCCCACTCATATCCTGGGTGAAACAGAACATTTAATAGTATTTCCTGAAAACCCTCTTTTGTCTGATCATAACATTTAAATTTACAATAATGGATTAAACACAGCAGATGTCTTTCTGAAAGCACTGATAAAAATGTTGAGTCAGGCATTCCTTAAATGTTAACTTAAGGGGATTTTAAAAATTTCCTACAAGACTGCTCAAAGAAGTCTAGCATTAATTAATTATATCAGTCTTAAAAATGATCAACCTGTCTCTATTAATTGGCCATGTACCACAGGGGGTCTCTGTTTTCTTTGGAGTATTGTAGGGCCTTTGCCTTACAATTAAAAGCGCCTTGAGGCAACTGTCGTGATTTGTTGATATATAAATTAAATTAAAATTAAATTAAAATAACACTGAGATGAATCGTGGAGCCATTTTGATCAGAATATGCCCTTTAAATTATAAACATCCTGTATGAGAGTGACACTCAAAAGTGATTTCATACATTTATTACATCTAGGCTCGACTATTGCAATTCATCATTATCAGGTTGTTCTTGAATCTCCCTGAAAAACTTTGAGTTTATTCAGAACTCTGCAGCAAGAGTAATAACTGCGGCATTTCAAATCCTTCTCCTCACATACAAAAGCTTGAATAATCAAGCCCCATCATATCTTCAGATCTCCCATCCTAACACAGAACTTTGCTCTTGGACATCAGGCCTATTTGTGGTTCCTCCAGTTATCAAAAGCAGAATGGAAGTCAGAGCCTTCAGCTTTCATGTCCGTCTTATATGGAACCAGCTCCCAGTCTGGATTTGAGCGACAAATACTCTCTACTTTTAATATTAGACTTTTCACTCTCTGTGCATTTATACACCAATGCTGTATTTACCCATTAGCAGTAAGTGATCTTCATCGCTCTCACCTATAGTTAGTTTTGTGCCGTCTCTCTCTGTTTATCTCCTCTTTCTCCTTTCACCCAGTTGCAATGGTTGACCTGAGCCCAGTTCTGCCTGAGATTCCTTCTTCTTTTTTCCCTTCCCATTGCTGCCAACTGCTTGTCCATAGGGGGTCGTCTGATTGTTGGGGGTTTCTCTGTATTATTTTAGGGTTTTTACCTTACAATATAGAGCATTTTGATGTGACTGTTGTTGTGAATTGGTGCTATAAAAATAGTATTAATTTCACTATAAATATAAAAATACACTTACAATTATATCTTTAAACATATGCTGCTTTCAGGTGAATATGTTGTTATTCTGATCTCATCAGAGACATTCAGAGACTGGGGTTGTGAGCTGATATTGATGTTATCTTTTATAGATTTATAAAATATGTCAAACTTGTTTGTTTTTTTTGTTTTTTTTTAAATGTCTTGGGCAGTCATGTAAATGAAAGCACAGGGTTTCTGTAGCCTTCTATTAGCTTTTTGGCCAAATAATCCAAAGCCAACTCCCATTTACCATAATGTTAGGTAACAGGCTATCAGTGCTTCGCATAAATCTCAGCAGTTTGTTGACATAATCTGGCTTTTATCTCCCCTTTCCATTCCCCTGCCTATCCCCCCTCCCTCTCTCATCTATCCTGCTTCAGTGTTTGTCGGTCAGTCCGCTTCTTATCTTGTCTCATTCGATCTTCCCTCTTGCCCCTCCCTCTGATTTTGTGTATGGTATAGAGCTGTAGCAATCGGCTTGACCAATGACCACCTGGCTGTCAAGGGGATAATGTAAACCTCCCCAAGAGAAGATTACTCTCGCTTACTGGGATAATTGGTCAGACACACACTTAAACACAGAGACACACACCGTCGAAGCCAAGGCACACTGTAAGACACCTCTCTGTTTCCATGGGAACATAACCTGAAACCTCTGTATACACTCACTAACGCATCCAAGTGAATACATAGTACACCCCCCTCTGTGTACTTTGCCCAGATGAGGTGCTCACAGGAGAAACCAACTTCCAACATTGAGAAATGATGCAACAAGACAACATGATCACTAATAAAAACAGGGACAAGGTTTTCTGGGGTAATGGAAATATCCTGTTCAACATGACTCTTTTTTTTTTTTTTTTGCAAGAGTAACAAGAAATCTTTAAAGAAAACAAAAGATTCAGTTTAGCTGAATTTAATTTAGAACAACACACGCCATCTCAGGGCATTTATTTAGGTCGAGATGCTTCAAATTTTATGAAGAGCACCCAGTGATTTCTGCAGTACAAACATTTAGCATAACTGGGCAGTAAACCTACTAACAAGAAAAACATTTTGGTAGAGGATAGAAATATGTATGCCTCAGCTAAAATTAAAAAATAAATGTAATAATGCATTTGATATTTGTGTTCAAATTGTTCAGCAAACTGTTAGTGGTTTAATGTGAGACCAAATTCACAAAACTCTTAGTGAAGAAAACTGTTTGTTGTGAAGTAATATATTTGTCTGCATTTACATGGCAAGCGGACCAAGACAGCTTGGGCCGTCTGAGTCCTTAACCGTGAAATTAGTTTAGGATCGTTGTTTGTCCAGAGGGCGACTATCTGTTTGTAAGTTGCTCCACCTTGTGGTTAAAAGTGGATATCACAATTAAAAGCAATGATCCATCCATCTTCTTCTGCCTGTATTTGTAACTTCTTCTTCTTCTTTTTTTTTTTTTTGAATGAGTTTGCTTTCAGTTCGTTTCCAGAGGGGCTTGCTTGTTTTAATGCAGTTTATCCAGTTAATGTAGTACTGCTATTATATTTAGGGCATATGCCAGATGTAGGAGTCACAGTACAGTTATTAAAATCAAAACACTGAACCTTTTGAACACTGTTTTTTTTAGTTTAGTTCTGTTTATCCATAATAACCTTGAGATGAATAACGTAAAATAAAGACAGCAGTTTACTGAAGTAAGGTTGTTTTTTTTTTTTTACTTAAACATTTTGGCCATCTGCTTGCTCGTTAGCAAGTAGCATCTTCAAAAGGAACTCAATTTTGGGAAGTCAAAACCTCAGGATTGGAGGGACTGCTATGCCTCAAGTGTCTGGGTGGAGAGGAGTGTCGCTATGAGTGTGTGTGCCAATAAACCACAGATCAGAAACATGCGAGTGTGTGTGTGGGGGGGTGAAAAGGTGCAAAAAGCATAAGGACAGACCGTAAAATGTGCAAACGTCAAGAGAGAGCGGACACAAGGTAATAAAATAGAATAGAATTAGGATTGTAAGAGAGAAGAATAGTGGTGCTCCGTGGATCATGTGAGGTCCCCAAGTGGCTGAACATACAGTGAATAAGTACCAGATTTTCCAGAGTCACCTTTCTCTTTTTTTTTTGTAGACATTTTTAGTCCAGTTACGCCTGAATTGTCATGTTTGAGCAAGATTTTTGCTGCTCAATGTGGAGCTATTATGTAAAAACAAGTAGCTTTTTGTTGCATTCATCTTAAGGTTAAAAAGGGAGCAATGGGCCATATATCCTCCAGCTACACTGACAGTAAGCCTTATGTAACTGAAGATGCATCTGTGATACTATATTCCAATTCTCTATAATATTTTTTACTGCCGAAGAACCTCATGAAATCATCATTACAAAAAGCTAAAGGCTCAACAGAGCTGTCTTTGTCTGTCTGACTATAGGAGGGCTTCCCCCCTCAAAGATCAAAGTTGTGGGATTTTGGAGGGTTTTTCCAAGTAACTGCTTTGAAGCGTGTTTCTTTGAATTGCACCAATGAGCTGGTCTGCTTTGATTTATTTCTAGCATTTTCAGAAACTCGGTATATTGAGTGTCATAGTGAAAGTGTGTGAGTGCACTAATGGAGTGTATAAAAAATGCATATGTTGGATGTATGCAATGCATAGACCAAGACACAAATAAACACAGAAAACACAGTAAGGTTTTACTGTGTTTGCTGAATTTTGCTATGAAAGTTTATTCTCAGAGCTACTGTGTTTGCTTTATTTGTTTCACTGCAGGTGTTGTTTAGTTCTCCAGCAGTGACACAGCACAAATTACAAAGTTGAATAACCTTTCTTAAATGAGGTTTATAGCATATAGCTAAATTTTCAGAAAATCTAAAGTATTGTGGAAAAAAAAAGGAAAACGAGAAAGCAGATTTTTTTAGTAAGGTCATTTCCTATTGATAAAACTACAGCGGAAGTCCTTTACTGAGCTCTCCTGCTTGTAAAGACATGCATTATTCTTTTTCTTGATTAAAATCTTTATTTAAACTTCAAATGTATAACATCCGACAGAAGAGCATTACATATTAAGACTCGGAATTAAACTGTTAATTTCAAATTTAATTAGCTCATTATCACTCAGTCTGCAAGAGAATTACTTTGCTGACATTTCTGTAATTTGCTTTGCTCTCTGCAAGAACACTTAATTTGCATCATTAGCATTATTTTTCAAAGTTAAATATGTGACAGATCAATTTTGGTGCAAAACACATTAAAACAACACAAACATTTTCATAAAACATATCAGGACTGATGTGCTGTGACACTGCGGGAATATACATTTGTTTATAGAGCTCCCCAATTATGGGGTGGAAAGTAAGTAAGTCCCAGTTATGGACATTAAAACCACATTATTGTAAAAACATTTTTATTGTCAAGACGATGGTTTGTGTTAGGCAGGCATTAGTTAGGCTTCCATTTGTGGTCAGGACATTGCATGTGTGTAGATGTGTGTGCTGTGCATCTGTCTGTGTATACTGTGTCAGGTTTGTACTGTAACTGGATGCATCTGTCAGCTCTCAAATATGTGACCTTGGATTGGTTTACCCACTAGATCTCAGCCAGTCTGCTACATGACACCGCTTTAGTGAGAGCATTAGCTGAGAGTCACTCTGACTTGAAAAGCCTCTCAAATGTTCTGTCTGAAGAGGGTGCAGTGAGCCGTTAAAAGGCTCAGTTTTTGCCTTGGAGCGGGGTTTGTCCTCTGGCGTTTAGAACTCACTAGTCAGAGATTGAAAAGCAAACTGAAAGATGAGGAGCATGAATAATGACTTGAAGCAATATTCTTGCTCAAGTTTACTGTAAGCATTTTTATGAAACTAAGGTGACCTGTCATAAAGTGTTGTGTGGCAGGAAGATTGCAGACTCGGATGCAGGACTCATAATTTGGGAAAATGAACTAAAGAAGGCAGCTTCAGTGCTGTAAACTTGCCAAAAAGTACAAGAGACATATAATATGGGGGCAGAAGCCAGAAATACATACAGTACAAGGAACTAAGAAACACACTGAGCACACAACATGAGGGAGGTCACAACAAGTGCTACAGGAAACTGGGGTCTTAAGTACACACAGGAGGTAATTAGGAAAAAGGAAGACACTAAGGAACACAGGTGAACCAAATCAGGGAAAACAAGACATGGGAAGCAAACGTTTTCACAAAGCACACAAGATGAGGGACTGGCAATATAAAACAGGAAGTAGCAGAACACCAGAGACGGAGACTTAATAAAGAATAAACTCAAAACACCGGGTCAAAGACCCAGGAGCATTGCATGAACAGGTTTTCATGTGTGGTGTGTTACAAGCTACTTAAAGAACAGCCCCAGTCAAACGAGCTGGCTATTATCACTTTTTAGCGAATGAAAAGAAAAAAAGAGAAACTTTAATCTGCATTTTGAACATGCATGCTATTACTTGTTGCTTGACTAACAGTTCAAATATGTCCTGGACTATGACGTGTTTCAGAAGGAAACTGGCCAAAGAGGTCATCTTTTACAGTCTACATTGTGGCCGAGAGTTTTATTTTCATGGGACTGAACAGCTACACACATAAAGCAGTGCTCCAGAGACGGACCTCACACATACTTCAAAAGATATTTCCATCGCTCTGTTTAAAATGTAAACACACTGCTGAAAAGAAAGTGTGTATTGAAGGTTTGTAGTTCAAGATGAACCCCCATGAATCTCAAAACTTCATTGCTTCACCCCCGTGTCTGATTACAGTTCATGTTGTGTATTTTTTTTCTTTTCCATTTCCATTGTTTAAGTCTGACAGCAAGTGAAATTACCACAACATTTTCTCCTGTGCTTTCCTGTGATGTAACTATTTTGATATTTGATTTACTTTCTATCGATCAGCTCTCACCTGGAATTAATGATTCTGAACTAAATTGCCTATGTTTACCAGGCTGGTGCAAAGTGTGGTAAATCAGCCCGTTGAATGAAAACATATTGCTCCCAAATGGTTCCTAAAGCAGCTACTACTAGTTAGCAGCACATATCACCAGAGGGCAGCATCTGTCCACAAACTCTAGACAGATTTATTGCTTGACTGAAAGAAAAGGGAGTTTGCTACATGACAGTTCTGTATTTCTGAAATAAATCTAACAAAGAGCCTTTTATGGTCTTCATTCATAGAGAACTTTTACACAGATGACAGTGCTGGACATGCTTGAGGAAAAAAACATCCATGGAAAGGTTTATAGCTGCTGATTAAACTGAACCAGTATAGACTTTTTAATCACTTTAGCAATTATAAGAAAGTGCATTTTCTCTGAGAGTGTTTCCATTTAAACATCTCCTTGTGTCCTTAAAAAGATCCGTGAAACCACTGTGCATTTCTCTCCTAGCCTCTATTGAAGCCAAACAACAACACATTTTATACTGTTATGATTACTGGCTGTCTTCTTATCACCTCACTGTGGTGTGTAATTTTCTCGTTCATGTCAGCCAATAGCACAAAGAAAGAAAGATAAGCCTTTGGATTACGCAAGATGACTCACTTAATCTGATTCTCGACGCCCTGGTTTTGACAAAAAAATCCATAAGTCTCAGTACCTTGTTGCTTCTAATCAGTGTTAATCATTGATTCATGCCTCCCCACATTCCCTATGTCTGGTGACACTCTGTGTGGTGGGAATTCCATTATTTAAATATAACTGGAAGTAAGATTAAAAGGCAAAAAATTGTTCTGGTACTTTCCCGGGCTGTAACTCTGTTGCCGTTGGAGTGTGTTCCTCTAGTGCTCTTCTGGGGTTTAGGATTCTGTATCAACATACTTGCGATGTATCTGTCAGACACGGTGCTCTTCAAGGAGCAGTTGTAAGGCCCGTGTGAACTGTTCCGCTCCAGGTAACTGTGGATAGTAAGCCAGCCTTGTTCGTCCACACTTTTTCCGGTGTACTGTTTCAGAGATCCATCTGAGAGGTTGCGGGAGCCGTGGAACCAGTGGACATTTCCGTCTGGGTAGACTTGCTTGAAGGTGCACACAGGTCCCGTGGTCGTTAATTTACCCTCCGCGATCCCACCACACTCTGCAGGGAAAACCACGAGAAAAGTTTTAAAATGCACTCGACGCACACCGATGCGATTCAATAATCTCATTTAGCGCGTGAAACTATTAAAATCCTACGCCAATATTTGCTGTCAGATGAATCACAAGGAAACATTTGCTTAACATTTGCTTAATTATTAACATTTGTGTTTAGATGCATTTTCTTTGTATTTGGTCTGATATGTGTTCTGGTAAATTTGGAAGCAGAGGCAAAAAAGAAGACTGCAATGCAAAAGCAAAGCAAAAATGTGTTTTGTAGTAAAACTGAAGTTTAAACATATTACTCTGCAATATTATAATTTGTTTTAATAGGAAAATTAAACTGAGGAACTCTGACCTTGTAACTCCACTTTAGTAGATTCATTGAGTGCTCCTCTGTTGGAGCGTTGCTTACACGTGTATTTTTTTCCGCTCTCTGGAGGGAGCATCTTTTTGAAGATTAGCGACAGCCGTCCATCTTCATATTCACAGGTAAAGTTACTCAGAGATGCTCTGTGGAGTTCAGTAGTGATCCCTTTACTGTCCACAGAACACAAAAGTGTTTCCTCTTTGAACCACTGCATAAGTTTGATTGATATTCCATGATGAACCGAGGATGTGTTGCAGTTGAGGGTAACTTGCTCGCCACACTCTGCGGTAATCTTGGGACTAACTCTTAGTTTCACCAACTCTGCAGATAAAGATACAGACAAAGAAATGTTTCATGTTTCGTTTTTTGTGTCTTAAACTTGGAGGAGGTAACGCCATCACACCATTATTACATCTTTATTAGAATATTCACCCTTTTACACTAACTTGAATTTAAATTTATAGTTCAGATAAGTTAATATGATCCAAAGCTGCAAAACAGTTGTCGCAGATATTTCAAACTCTACTCAGCAAATACTAATTTATAGTAATTTAGTATAGTTTAGTAATTTCACATACCTTGTGTTGTAAAAGCAAATGCAGTCAGAAGCCAGAGCGTGTGCAATGCTGTGAATCCCATTGTCAAATCTTTCACATTTCTCTGTAACATAGAGAACCATCAAACCTAATTAGCTCTCGGTAAATGCACACTAGGTGTTTTCCTGCAGACAGGATGGAAGGCTGACCTTAAAGCCGGATTCATTAACCAGATGTCTGTTAAGTCTTGTTGTTCACCAAAATGACCTCTCGAGAACTGCTGCTTCTCCTGAGCCCTTATTCAGAGCTTGTGGTCCCACAGTCCTTTTGGCTCGTCAATAAATTCTGCATATGCCGCCTCAGACTTCAGAAGATATGAAGTTAATCATTACTTTTAAGTGGAATTACTGGGAAGGCTGAAGCCATATCCCTGTGAAAGGCGTGGTGTTGAAATCTAAACAACAGTGAGGCTGGAAAGGAAGTGTCGTATTTCTCTGTGTGAGTGTGTGTGAGTGTGTCAGTAGTAAAAAGAACAGACAAAATGAGACAAAATGAAGACCTATTCATAAAGCAGTAAAAGCCACCACAATCAGAGAATTGTCTGACTTTCTTTGATGTGCTTCAGCAATCTTCTGTAGCTTCATTTTGCTGCATTCATCTCTGATATAGATTTTTTCCCATGGGGTCATTATCCCTGTTTAATTCTGTTCATCCAACCCCAGGGGAAATGCTTTACTGTAAGCTGTTATGGTGTGAAGAGCCACTTTCACTCTGTTAAGGACTTCATTGTGTAAAGTAATGAGTCATGTTATTTAAAGCTGTTATATCATCATGGGAAAGTGACAAGTTTCTGACATCCACTCGTCACTTACCTTAACCGGGCACAGAGATGGTAAATAAGTGATTTTGCACATCAGTGGCAAATACTGTTTTCCAGCTTTAATAACAATACATAACTTGTATTCAGCAGAAAAAGACCAAAACCACTACTCGTGTGTACTATATTTCTTGTTTTGCTGAATAAAGAAAACAGAAGGAGTAAATGAATGAAAGCCTACTGTGCGAGTAAAAAAAAAAAAACTCAAGAGGTTTATGAAAGATTTATTATCAAAAGATTTATCATCATTTGTACTAATAAATTCTGCCTGTTGCAAGATTTATTATCACAAATATATATTTGGTGTTTTGCACAATTTTGTGTAGTATCTCCTAAAAGGCTGCGTCAATGTCCAGAAAGTGTACATGATTATGAGATTTCATTGATTTGGTTTCATTATGGACGAACTTAAAGCTTGTGTGGTATAAATTTTAGTTTGGATCTCTACGCATCAATCTTAATTTTGACTCTGTGCTCACTTTTCCTACCAATTTGCTAAGAGCAAAAAAAAAAAAAAAAAGGAGAAATACTGCTCACAGTTGTGTAACCCAGCTAAAAAATTGAATTAATACACAAAAATCAAGATGCCATTTATACAATTGCTTCATTAGGTACACCTTTGCAACTACATGTCAAAACAAATATCTGATATTTGACAGATATCTGATCTACCAATCACATCACAACAACTCAGACAACTTGCTGGTTGTTGGTCCCAGACGAATTGGTCAGCTGACCTAATGGGATTTTCCCACATAACCACCTCTGGGATTTTCAGAGAATGGTGTCCAAAAAAGAGAAAGTATCCAGTTCTCTAGATAAAACGCTTATGAACCTTATGGGGAGGCAAAAGTAACCAAAATAACCACTTGTTACATACAAGACATGAGCATCTCTTAATACCCAACAAGTTGAACCTTGAAACTAAATCATTCCTGTCAGCTCAGAACAAAAAACTGAGGCTACAACTCGACAACAGATGATTGGAAAAATGTTGCTTGGTCCGCAAGTGTTATTCGGCATGGACAGCATGAAAGTGTGGATCCATCATGCCTTGTATTAATGGTTCAGCTTGCTAGTGGTCGAATGGTGTGAGAATATTTTTTTGTCACAATTTTGGACTCAGCCTACCTGAGTACTGTTGCTGACCATGTTAATCCCTTTATGGTGACAGTGTATCTGTTTTATGATGGCTGCTCACAACAGGATAGTTTGCCAGGAATCTCCAATCATTTTGAAACTCCTGGCAATGACAATGAGGTCAGTGTACTCAAACGGCCTCCACCAGATGTGGTGGAATGGAACATTCTCATCATGCATGTAGAGAAAAAAATTGCATCAACTGTGTGAAGCTATCTTGTCAATATGTAGCAAGATGCCTGAGGAATGTTTCTAGCACCTTGTTGAATTGATGTCATAAAGAATTAAAGTAGCTCTGAAAGCAAAGCGGGACCAAGCTAGTATTAGCAAAGTGTATAAAATAAAGCAGCTGGTGAGTATATATGTTTGTCCCAGGAAAGAAGTTTTTTTGCTTCACCATTTCGGAAATCTTGTGAATCTTGAAATGTGTGTTAAATTAGTTTTTGTAAAATCCAAGATAACGATGCTTGCGTTGTAGCAAGAAAGACTTATAAGGTCACACTGACCTTTTACCAAAAAGTTCAGCCTCGAGTCAGTGTGAAAGTAGATGCCACAATTTTAGAAATATCCGTAGTTAGTTATAAAAATATTGCCTTTGCACAGATGTCAGATTACCCATTAAAAATCTACAGTTCTACAGAACCCAGTGTGTTCCAGTCACAGGGTAACAAAGGGTGACAAAGAGCATCACTGAGTGTGAACATTACTGTTGAGTGAGTGGGTCTTACTGCCATTCTGTGTGCACCACTTACTTTTGTTGGAATTTAAATTGATTGCACCTACTTTTTTTAATGTATATTTTTGAGAAGAAATAAAAAGGTCTAGTGACAGTTATTGCTGCAAATGCACAGTACATGCACATGTGAATGAACCCAGGCAGAGATCTGTTGCCCAAAAAGAATATACAGTCTGGCTGCAAGATGAGAAAATCTTTAATTGTTATTATACTTTATAGTTGTTTTTTTGTTGCTTTCTACTTGTGTAGCTCCTCTTTGCTCCTACTTATACTGTGCACAGCTAAGTGCTGCAGTCAGGTATAAATGGTAAATGGTAAATGGCCTGTATTTATATAGCGCTTTACTAGTCCCTAAGGACCCCAAAGCGCTTTACATATCCAGTCATCCACCCATTCACACACACATTCACACACTGGTGATGGCAAGCTACATTGTAGCCACAGCCACCCTGGGGCGCACTGACAGAGGCGAGGCTGCCGGACACTGGCGCCACCGGGCCCTCTATAAGTGGTCCAACTTTGCAAATCTTCTTCCATGTTTGACGGAGAAAGAAAGCAAGAGCAAGGAACGGAAGGAAAACTCTTTACAGTATGCATTAGCTGTGTTGCAGGTCATGAGCAAAATGAATGTAGTTTGCATGAAGTACCTGGAACTCTTCACTGGCTGCTGTATTTGTGTTATTTTTCTTTATTGTTCTATCTATGCTTTAAATTCTAAATTCTAAATTTACGAGAAAAGGTAACATCTTTGATGGATATTTATGAGCACAATACACACCGGCTATAATCTAATAAAGTTTATGAAGCAATTGTGCAATAACAGGTGAGCCTAGTGATAGTCAGCACTGGTCTGCTTGTTTCATCACCCTCTGAATGCACATGTACGACACAATGACTTCATTAGATTTGTTTCTACAAAAAGAAAACATTTATTCTCTTAGGGATTTATCTAGATGCCCATTAACTGGTTACTGTTTAAGCCACTTTAATATAGTCCTTAGGTTGTCTGCTGTGGTAATGTTTCAAGATTCAGTTGTCACGGATGCACATTTTTGCTACTTACTCTATATCCATGACTATGTGAGCACCAAGTTGTGCATATGTAAAGGTAAAGTCTTTGTTTTGCAGGTCATAAGCAAACTGTCATTACCTTCAAACATAAAATCTAGTGGTTTAAATTCTACCAATTCAAGTTCAGCAGGTGTTCACAGCCAGAGAGCAAGGCATAATAGGAAGGCTGCAGGCTAATGGCAAGTATGAGGACAACTCAGTTTGGCAGCTGTCAGTCTTGTGATATCGCTTCTTATTCATCGCTTGAGATATCAGCTGTCTTAGTCAGTTAACACTGACAAAATGAGAAACACACAAACATAAACTACCTTACCTAAATTCCCTGAAAATCCCTGAAAGCACCCAAATTGTTGTTTAACATGTTATTTATGGTTACCAAATAATTGTAAACATGTAAAATTGTAAGATTTGAGCATATTAAAAATGCAGTGCTTGTTCAGTTTAGCCTATATTAATAAAGATGTCGAAATCACTTGAAAGCATCACTGAAGAGACAAAGAGCGATGAGGTACCCAGAGGAACCACAGGCTCACCTCTTCAATCATAATCTGTTTATTACTTGGTCAAGTACAAAGTGAAAGCAAGTGAAAGGAGTAACTGAGCTGCCATGACTGAGCTGCATTACTATAGCTTAAATGATGCTGTACTGCATGAATACCTATTGAACTGGACTGACAGCACTGGTGCTGACTCTATAGCAATACAGATTATTATAAATAATAATATTAAGCCAAAGAAAAATTTGGAGACTATTTTCTTATCATTTTAGAAATATTTCAAAACCCTGACCTTGCTGAAAGACACACGTACCATTTGACGTGTTTTTATTGACCCTGGATTACAACTTTTGACCTACAAAAGCTAGTGGGCTTTTACCCAGAACTAAGAGGTGTGATCATACCACTCTGGTTTTAGCTTCTTTACACAGGCTCCCAGTATGTTTCAGATTTTATTGATTTTGTTGAGACCCTTCCTGCCCTTGCTCACAGCTACATCTCCGACTTCTCAGTAATGCATGCTCCAGTATGTGCCTTGAGAACCTTGGACAGAGATGTTTTATCTGTTCAAGGAGCCCTGCTGAAAAATAAGAGATTAAAACATTTAGCCCCAAGGCTCTGGAATGATTTGCCTGAGGAAATCAGATTGGCTAAATTGGTGATCTTTTTGATTTCTTGTTTATGACATACCCTTTTCTATATCCTAACTTGTTTTTCTATTGTTTTTATTGCATTTAATTTAACTTATTTACTAATTTTAACAGAGTGCAAATTTGCTTTTAAGATGATTTTTTTCTTTTCTATAATCTGTAAAAATGACAGGATCTGATATTTATGATTTCCTCCAAATATTCAACAATAAAGTGTCATTGTTACTTTGTAATATAAAGATATTAAAAATAGGAATGATGACTAATAATATAAAATAATATGGAATTACAAATACTCACCTATATCTGAGGTCTGAGGCTTTGGGGCCAGTGGGAATTTGTCCCCCTAGCAGCAGGTTCATATTTTAGCCTCTATGTAATCTGGCTTTAGGCTTTTTGTATGCACATCCACACACATGCAATACATGAACACAGAACGATACACTTAAAATCATTGAGT